TTCCTGGTCTTTGAGTTACATTTTGCCAGAAAGACAAAACTGGCTCTTTATCAGCCAAAAGGGTGGGTGAGTAGGCAGTCCCCAGGAAAGCCCAGGGACTTAGGAAGTAAGAGAAACAAACTCTCTCATTCTTTTTACAGTCTTTAAACACCCATTCCTGTCACCTCCAGCTTGACTTAAAGGATAAGGCTTGCTGCTATGCCTCCCACTCCTTGGAAGAGGCAAGGAGGCACTCCTGAAAAGGGGTGGAGGTGGGGGCAGGGTAGGGCCTAAGGCCAGGGGTATGTAGGGAAGAATTTCCTGGTTGGTGAGTTTTTCCCCTGGATGCCCTGTTCAAGCAGGATGGATTTGTCATCCTCTAGATTCCTGGCACGTTTGTATTTGTATTTGTCTGTTTATTTCCCTATGACATGGCCATCGATGGAATCTTGTTTAAACACCTTAATAGTGTCTTTAATCTAAGCCTGAGAATCAATAGTCTTTGTGATTGTTGCTTTGAGACTCCTCCTCAATTGGAAATTCCTCAGGTTTGTTTTAAGGAAGACATTTCTCTATATATTCCCTCTCCCCTTAGAACCTATGAAGTGTATATCATCACCGTCCCCATCTGAGATGAAGGAAGGTGCACTAGCTTACAATGCCAACATCCCACATTGGAGTGTTGGTTCAAGACCTGGCTGCTCCACTTCTGATCCAGCTTTCTGCTAACGTGCCTGGGAAAGCAGAAGATGGCACAAGTAATGGGCCCTTGCCACCCAAATAGGAGACCCGGATGAAGTTCCAGGCTCCTGGCTTCAGAATTATCCAGCCTTGGCTGTTCAAGGCATTTGGGGAGTGAATCAGCAGATGGAAGGTTCTCCCAGCCAATGGCAGGGCCAACTACTAAACCCATACTTTTTCCACACAGTCTACAATTATTGCTATAATAAAGGTTCAGACCAGTAATTTATTAAATATGTAATGCACAGAGTAATTAATAGAAAATTATAACTTATTTAGCTATCTTGACCATCGATTACCCTTACCTCTCCACTCCAGAGGCTGAACTCATCCAAGGAGTAGCAACTGTGGTCTCTTACACTACATCCACTCAAGCACTAAGAAATATCAATGACTGGTGGTAACCTCAGAACACAGATTTTTAATTTGATTTGCTTTATGAAACTGAGATATAATTCACCCCTTTTAAAATGAATAATTCAGTGGTTTCTATGTGTATTCACAAATTTGTGCAGCAATTATCACTACATAATTGGAGAACATTTTTTTAAAGATTCATTTTTATTTATTTGAAAGATTTACAGAGAGAGGCAGAGAGGGGGAGAGAGGTCCTCCATCCTTTGGTCCACTCCCCAGCTCTGGCAGTTGTGGCCATCTGGGGAGTGAACCAATGGATGGAAGACCTTTCTGTCTCTTCCTCTCTTTGTCTGTAACTCTACTTCTCAAATAAATAAATCTTAAAAAAATAATAAAATGACCTAGAGAGGACAACCAAGAGGAGTCAAAGTATAGTGCTGCTCCTGGAGTCTTAAGAAAAGGAACGGTGCTGAGTCAAAGGAAATGACATCCGGGTAGCACTGTGTCCATGGTCAGTCCCAGCAGACACATTAGTTCCAGAGCAGGTCTCTAACAGCAATGAGGAAAAGGCCCAAAGGAGGGCAATGAAGATAGAGAGCAGGAAAAGAAGAATCACAAGGAAAACTTCAGAGCTTGAAGTTACCTATGAAAGGTATTTAAGCACAACCTTAACCATCATGAAAGGATGGTTAAACAGAAAATGGTGACCCTTTCTTTCATCCTCAAAAGAAAACACAAATATTAAGCATTTTATCTATAGTATGAAGCTTAAGGTTAGCACAGAAGGAAATCTTGTTAGACACCAGAATGGTGATGGTGGCAATAAGTCCCTTGATGCTTAAAATTTTTTAGAAATGTGAGTTAATTTTAGATTAACAGAAAGGTACAAAGAATCCTATAAAGAATCTCCTCATTCGAATTCCCCAATGTCAACACCTTACAGTACTTACACTGTGTATCATTCTCTCTCCATATATTCATAAATTTTTTTGTCTGAAACTTTTGAGAGCCAACCACAGACAAGATTTCTACTCTACCCCTTAACATTTCAGTGGCTACCTCCTACAAACCTTCTCTTGCCAGATCACAGAAATAAACAGAACCTCATTTGTTTGGGGAGTTTAGGTGTGTTCCTCAAGGAGGGCTTGAATGAATCTCTCGAGGTTCCTACCAGAAGCCTCATGCTGATTATTCTTACTATATTAAAAGTTGTGTACTTTTAAATGGTTGTGATAGGGAAAACATCTTCGTGTTCAGGACCGGCTTGGGTTATAAAGATATTTTCCCCCTGTACATTCCTGTGTTTAACAAAATTAACCAAAGTGTGATGAGAAGTGACATATCCTCTTTCTAAACATTTGAGATATATTCACATTTTGAAACCCTCCCCTCCGCAATGATGCACTATGCTCTAGGCTTGGACGAAGAGCTGCAAAAAATGGGTGGGTGTTCCTTACTTCAATCACTCAACAAATATTTGGTGAGTGCCTAGTGCATGTCAGGCTCTGTTCCAAGCCCTGAGAATATATTCGAGCAAAAAAAATAAATAAATAAATAAATCCCTGCCCTTGTAAACGTAGTTGGACAACTTAAACGTTAAATTAAAAAACAAACAAGAACTCAACCTGCTTAAACAGGGAGAACTCAAGTCACTGTGTAGTTGGGAGACTCATGATTAGCTCGAAGTCCCTGGTAAACGCGCGGATTTAATAAAGTCTGCGTTTGTTTAAACGCACCCCGCAAATGATTAATCCAAACGGGCGGGGCCGTCCTAACCCCTGCATCCGGACGCGATTGCGCCGCGGCTGCCAAGCACTGGCCCTCGCGCCCCCACGAGGCGCTACCTCCCGTGCCCGCCAGAGCAGAGCGCCTGGGAACCACGCACCGAGAAAGTCTCGCGGGGAGGTGGCTCGGGGGAACCGGCTCCTCCGGGCGGCCTCGCCCATTGCAATGTAATCTGGGTGGTTTTTCCGGGGCCCTCCCGGCCCGGTTCCGCGCCCAGTTTCTGCCCCCGCGAAGTCCCGAGGCCGGGGCGGAGAGAGGCTGCAGATGCGGGCCAGCACCTACAAGTCCTGGAGATGGAGCACGCGCTCGGGACCCGCGCGGCGCCGACGACGGTGGCGTCGTGTGCTCCTGCAGGGGCCCCCGCGCGCCGCGAGTGTGGCAGCCGGGCCTCCGCCCGCTCCCGGGGGACCCGAGCTGCGAGGGCGGCCCCGCCTCCATCCGCACCGACTCCTGCAAGGACCGGCGGCGGCGCCGGGGGCGAGTCTCCAGCTCGCTCGGACCGGACTGGCGCACAGGAAAGTGGCTCGGCTGGTACTGGGATGGGTTTCCCGGGTTAACATCTCCAACACCAAGGGCTGGGCGCTTGGAGCCTAATAACACTTCAGACGGAAATCTGTTCTCTAGGGTAGACAGGTTCGAAACACAAAACTTCGCCACACTTCGCCTTGGCCGCTTCTCTCTGAACTGTCAGTGTAACCCACCACACTGCCAACCAGCTGGCTGGCTGGGGCAGACCCAGACCGAAGCAGGGGTGGTGGCTTGGGGGCCTTAGTCAAATCGACCGCCTTCAAGTACAAAGCCAAAAGGCAGGAGCAGAGGGCCTGGGGTCAGAGGGAGAACTTTAGGGAAAAAAACAAAACAAAACAAAAACCAAAAAAAACCAACTTGCATGGCCTGACTTAGGGAAATCTTTATTAGGCACACGGGTAGATGCATTTTATCAAGGGCCCCAGGCAAATCAAAGGAAGTGGACCCCAGGCCGGGAGGACCCTCTAGTCTCTAACGAGCAGCCACGACCAAACAAGACGTGGCAATTAAAGGCGTCTTGGCGAGAAAAGGACGTGGGGTCCATCGTGTCTGAGTGTCCTCTCGGGGGTCCCCGCAGCTGCTTCGCGCGCGGTGAGCACAGGTGTCCTGCGCGAGACCTGGCGACGGGCTCCTCGGCGAAGGTGGGCGCGCGGCGCCGGAGTGCGCCCGGCTCCGGCCCGGAGAAAGGCAGGGCCTGGCGCGTTTCTCCTGCTGTTTGCTCGGAAAGGTGTGTTGGGCTCGGGAGCGGCTTTTCCGGGGTTCGGCAATTGCCCCCGCCACCTCCCGGCTGCCGTTGGCCGGTCCCTCCCACCGCGGTTCGCCCTCCGCGGGCGCCGCGCCCTGGGCCTCACCTCTGGCCTCCTTTCGCCTCCCCGCGCCGGGCCGGGCCTCCGCGCTGGACCCTTCAGGACCTCGGGCTTCGTGCCCCCACAGCCGGCCTTTCTCCGAGCGCCCCCTTCACCTCCGAGCGGGGACCCTTGCCCGGCGGCTCCGCGCCTCTCACCCCTCACGCGCTCCCGTCCGGCCTGGTCTACCCTCGGGGTGGCGACCGCCTCTTCCCCGCCCTCCGGCCTCCCCCCTCCTCCCCTCTCGCCCTCGCCGCTCCATTCATCCAGCCATTGTCTCCCGCCCCCTCCTCCCCTCCCCTCCCCTCCCCAGGAGGCCTCCTCCCCCACCGCTGCCACGTCGTGGTTTGAAGGAGCCAATGGGCCGGCGCCGCCAGGTGTCTCTTACCTGCACCACGTGGGGGAGGGGGAAGGGGCGGGCAGGTAGAGCCACATCCCAAAACAGAAAAGCTTTCAGCCATTGCGCGCGCCTCCCGGGGGTGCAGCCCTGCTCCGGGTTCTTTTCATAGACGCACGGGCAATTGAATACAAAAAGGGCAGGCCTCCTGCGCCCTCCTTCCCACCCGCCTTCCTGGCCTGGGTGTGGAGCCGCGGCCAGGTGTGGGCTTGGGTGGTTGGTTGCCGCCTTTTGCACCGGCGGCAGCGAGGAGGGGGGGTGGGCGGGCGCTCTTTCTTTTTCTCTCAGAAGAGGTTTTAGCGCAGGCTTTCGCGTTCTCGCTTCCACCCCACTCACCGCCTCCTCCCGACCCCCCTTCTCCCCCTCCCCACCTATCGTCATGACGGCCTCTCCGGATTACTTGGTGGTGCTTTTTGGGATCACTGCTGGGGCCACCGGGGCCAAGCTGGGTTCGGATGAGAAGGAGCTGATACTGCTGCTGTGGAAAGTCGTGGACCTGGCCAACAAGAAGGTATTTTCTTCACATTTCCCTCCAAATGCACGCTGTGGGGGCAAGAAGTGTGTCGGAGAAGTCGGGGGTGCGGGGTAGGTAAACAAGTGCTCTTCGCCCACTTGTGAGGCCGGACGGACCCAGGGCCTAGGGAATCCAGAGTAAAACCGAACTCGTTGGCCAGCCGCCTTGGAGCCATTTCAGCCTTTCCCGAAACCTGGCTCAGGTGGAGAGGCCCGGCGCTGCGGCGCCGGGTTCACTGCCCGTCGGAGGGCGCCAGGGAAAGACGGGGGTGGGGTCCCTGAGGTCCGGGGTCCGCCTCCAGGGCCGTTCCGACCTGATCCGGGTGGGGGTGGGGCGGGGGGCCCGGCCGCCGCTGGCCGCTCGCGAGCTTTGATTTCGCCGCGGACCCCTGGCGAGGCGCGGGCTGCCGCCGCGGGCGGGCGGGCGGGGGAGGAGGGCCCAGAGAGAGGCTCCTGAATTTGAGGAAGGGGGAAACTGACCCCGGCTTCTCTGCCCCCACCCCCTCGCCCTCCGGAGGTGGGACAGCTGCATGAAGTACTCGTTAGACCAGATCAGTTGGAACTGACGGAAGATTGCAAAGAAGAAACGAAAATAGACGCCGAAAGCCTGTCCTCGGCGCCGCAGCTGGACCAAGCCCTTCGACAGGTGACAGCCCTGGGCTGCGCCGCCCCCGGCGGGGAGCAGCCTCCTCAGCCCTCGCACTCCCGGGGCGGTCCCCGCGTGTCCCTGGGGCGGGGTGGCGCTGCCCGGCTGCGTGTGTGGGCGGGCGCCGAGCCTGGGGGCCGGGGAGGGTCGTTTGGGAGGGGGTCGTTGGTCCTTTAAGCTTTTCGGTCCCTGAGATGCTGGGCCGAAATTCGTTCGTTTTCAGTTGCTTTCTCTGTAGTTCCTGGGGCCTGAGGGTCAGCCGCGTTTTACCTGCCGAATGGCTTGCGGAGTTAGAATCTTGGCGCCCCCACCTCCAGCCTGGGCCCGCGGCTCAGCCCGGGCCAGGGGGCGCTGTGGTGTAGGGCGTGTGGGCCGGGTCGGGCCGGCGACGGGCGCTGGAGGCGGCCACAGTTCTGGTTGGAACCTGAAGGTTCCTGCCCGGTTTGAGCCTTCTCAACCCCAGAAGAAGGGCTCAGTCTCATTCTCACCTTAGTGGCCCTGGCCTCAGCTCCGGGGAGGATTTGCAGGTTCCAGCATGTAGGGCTGCGCGTTGGGTCACCGTGAAACTGCCGGAATCCCCTTACTGGTGACCTAAAAACCCCGTCGCAGATGAGTGCAGGATCAGGGGGAGGGCGCGGCGCGCAACACCTGAGCACCGGTGCCTGCCCTGCGTTCTCTCGGCACGGCCTCTGCCCTGGCGCACGAGGTTCGAATCGTAGGAGAAAGTGACTTCTGCTGTGTATTCTGGGAAACGCGTTCCCGGACTTTGCAGAGTAACGAACAAGCATAACCCACGTTTGCTCTATCAGAAACTTGGGTTCTGTGTGCAACCTGGCACAGCCAAGCAGTAGAACAAAGTCACACCAGGGAATGATGTAATCTGAAAGCAACCTCTGATTCAAATCTGCAACGAATTTAGCGTAAAATCACAAGAGGGGACAGGCGGGAGAAGGCACTGGCAAGCTACCCCTGAGCGAAAACTGCCCTCCGGTTGGGCCACTGCAGGGGGGCCCATGCTGCCTCCGTCCAGCCCTGTGTGGTGTTCTTTCAGTTCAACCAGTCGGTGAGCAACGAGCTGAACATTGGGGTAGGAACTTCCTTCTGTCTCTGTACCGATGGGCAGCTTCATGTCAGGCAGATCCTGCATCCCGAGGCTTCCAAGAAGGTAAGAGTGCCGCCGCTTCCTGGAAAATCGTTGGACCTTGAGGCAGATCAGAGAGGCTCTTCCCTTTGGATGGTTTCTCCTCGAAAAAGATGCGTAGAGGGACTTGGTCAATGGCTACAGATGAAAAGGCTATGAAATCTGGAAGTGGCTGGTGGTGATCGTTGCAAAATATAGTAATGGACTTAATGCCAATGAAATGTATGCTTAGAGCTTGTTACAGTGGTAAATCGAATGTGACGTATTTTCCACAGTAAAAAAAATGCATGGCAGTTTCAAAGATGTTTGGGATTGCAGTAATTTTATAGACACCCTGTATGAGTTAAAACAGTCTTCTTACAGCAAGATCTCAAGATGATTGGCATTCTCTATTTTTCAAAGCCAACATAGTGTGAATTTTTGAAGTTAAAGATGAGTCCAGGTAGGGAGAAAAGGGCCGTCTTAACACACGGGCATGATCCTGTTTGTGTTGAACATGAAAGGAAAGGAAACTTTGAATTCTAGTCATTTCGTTTCAAATACTGCTTTAGTAAGACTAAATCCTGTAACCAGTGAAATGCACACTTCACTTTGATTTTAAGGACGGGTTCAAAAAGAAATCTTGTATTGAAACGGTAGGTAGGGTCAGCCCTGTCTTTTCCCTTTGCTAATTTTTTTTTTTTCTGATATGAAAAGAGAAATCATGCCTGCTCAGTGTAGATAAAATGATTTCTCTCCCTGGAAAAGGAGCACAGACTACCAGCCCGGTGTAGCCAGTTGCTGTTAATACAGTTGATGCTAACGACTTCAATTAGTTTGAGCTGTAGCTTTTTATTGTGCTAGGCAGGTACTAAGCTCGAAAAATTGGAAGTAAGGGATACTAAGTAAGGTAACTGTGTGAGGCCAGTCTGGGAGTGAAAGATGTAGGTTGACAACTGGTGGCACAGGCAAGTATAGTCAGTGCAGATTTCCTTGTATTCTCCCAGGGTAGGGAAAGGTGGGAGATGAGTTAAAGGGATGATGACAATTTAAAACATTTGAAGGGGTAACTCAGGTTCCTATATCTTTAGGGTTAAGAAAATCGTTCTTTTTATGGGAGCTTTAGTGATTATTGGATTAAAAAGGGAGGAAACATTTTTAAAAATCAAATGCTAGATCAGTTGCTGTAAACTTAAGCCAGAAATAGATATATACTAATATGAGAATTATTTCCCGAGACAATCCTTTTCTTTTAGGGCCAGAGGAAAATGGCTGTTTTTGTTATTTTAGATGGACTGCTTTGGATATGGGGAAACCTCAGGAAAAAAACTGAGACATTTTCCTGTGCCACTTGTATTGGAGCTTTAAGTATAAGAAATTAAAACAATTTAGTATCATAATTTCATATGTTCATTAAAGAAAAATGATAAAGCATGCAATGATCTTACTAAGAAAACAATATATTTCTCTAAACACATTTGGATATATCCTTCCAAATTTCTGTAGAAGACCCTTATTTTTAGAAGGAACATGCGTCCTATACAAACCTTTCAGCCTACTTTATGATTTAATGTAATATCAACATTTCTTATAAGCAATGAATAAAATATTGCAGTGTTTTAAATGAATACAGTTATTTAAACCAGTCCTTCATTGATGGACATATGAATTATTGTGTCATTGCAAACAATTTTAATTAATGTTTTTGTAAGGAATTGTGAGAATTCATGATTCTTTTGGTAATGAACTCTTTGGAAAGCTGTGACCATGATGCACTAATACTCATTTCAAATACAGTGGGAGCAGGTCACTTCTAAAACTCATAAATCTCAATGGAAGGACTTCGGATAGAAGACATTCTTCTATAAATATTTAGTAACCAATGTTAAAAAGATTTTTTCCTTGATTTTTTTTTTTCTAGTGTGCAAATGGGTAGACATTCCCAGTAAGTGAGTAATCTAGTTTGAGATTTTAAGAAAAATACAAATTCAGGCTTTAAAAAAGCCCAACTTATATTTAAATTATTCAATGAGAGGCTAATTATTCAGGAAAAGGGAAACTATTGTCTCATATTTGTGCAGACAGTTGAGCTTTGTTTACTAACTGCAAGACTAGTGCCTGTAACAGAAGAACAACAGGTAACCATTTTTCCTTTGCCTTTGGGATTTGGGATTTTTTTTTTTTTTAAGTCTATTTGAATTTGTGGTTGTAGTCAGGGTACTCATAGTGGTCAAGAAAACTAATGTTGAAATGTAATTTGGCACAAAAATAGTACTATTTAATTAGGAATTTACTGTTTAAATCTATTACTGAAAATATGCATTATAAGAACCCAATTGCAGTTTTCTATATGAAAACTGAGAGGGATGATATTGCTGCCTGAAAACACAGGTGCTTTATAGTGGCTACTGTGGAAGACGTGTAGTATTGTCACCCAGAAAATCTAAAGCACAATAGTCCAAACGTATTGTAGTTTCAGAAATGCTTTGAATGGAATTCTAAATGGAGCAAATGTAATTTGTTGCTTTAAAATAAGATAGTTTTGTTTTTTGCCCATGAGACTTGTATCCAGAATCTAATTCAGTAACAGAGCAGCTATTAAAAATCTGGTCTTCCATTAAGTTTTTTAAAAATTACATCTTTTGTTTGAAAAATTTGTAAAATATGTTTGCATTCAATCCTTAGGTTCCTAGTTATTAAGAAAATGTTGAAATTGATTGAAGTCACAGTATCTACCTTGTCCTTCCCCAGAATGTGTTGCTTCCTGAATGCTTCTATTCATTTTTTGATCTTCGAAAAGAATTCAAGAAGTGTTGCCCTGGCTCACCTGATATTGACAAACTGGATGTTGCAGCAATGACAGAATGTATCCTTTAAATGACTATCCAAGAATTATTTGAAAAGCTAGCTTCTGGAAAAAAAAGGTAATTCAAGACATGTTAAAATGTTTTAAAACTTGTCATCATATACATGAAACTTAGCGTCCAAAATTGGTCTACTATGTTAGGAGGAACTAATATGACAATTATCTAAGTTTTCAAAGAAGTTTAAATGAACTGAATTTGAACATTGGATGGGTTTAGAGAGGGATTTTTGTGAGATGATTGCTCCTAAAATAGAATTTGGTTTCAGATGACAGGATTGTTTTGGGTGATGAATTGGAGAAGAATGTAAACACTGTACTCTCTTGGTATAGGTCCCAGACTCCCTTATTCTTGATTATTAGTTTTAGAGGTTTTTTGGCTTTAGAATGGGTGAAATTTTGGGGTGATTTTTTTTTTGTCTTTTTTTTTTTTTTAAATAGTAGATGTATCTCTTCTACAATCCCCTGAGTTTGAGTTTCTGCAATACATACAAGATCAAGGTGATTATAATCCATCTTTGGAGATGATAAATGGGGTTGGCATTGGTACCTTAATTCTTACCAAGATAGTGTTTTAGATATGTTATGTATTATAAAAGCAAATTTTATAATCGCAAATCTTGTGATCATGAATGACCCATCATCTTACAGCCATTAAGTCTTTAAGGTGCTAACTAATAAGCAGTCATGTGTTCATACATCAGATGTGAAATTGACTAATTGACTAATAGACTAATGTTAGTCAGCTCTCTCGGGACCCCTCTGAAAATCATCCTGACATCAGATCTCAGCTCTCCTGGGACCCCTCTGAAAATCATCCTGACATCAGATCTAAGTTACTTTCAGGAATTTGTAGATTTTTTTTTTTTTTTACAGGCAGAGTGGACAGTGAGAGAGAGACAGAGAGAAAGGTCTTCCTTTGCCGTTGGTTCACCCTCCAGAGGCCACAGCGGCCGGCGCACGGCACTGATCTGAAGGCAGGGGCCAGGTGCTTCTCCTGGTCTCCCATGGGGTGCAAGGCCCAAGCACTTGGGCCATCCTCCACTGCACTCCCGGGCCATAGCAGAGAGCTGGCCTGGAAGAGGGGCAACCGGGACAGAATCCGGCACCCCGACCGGGACTAGAACCCGGTGTGCCGGCGCCGCTAGGCGGAGGATTAGCCTAGTGAGCCGCGGTGCCGGCCCTTGTAGATGCTTATTCTTGAAGATTTCTTACAGTATCAAGAACTAAAACCTTGAAATTTCAAAATGTATTTACCTGATTGAAAAAGGTGGTTTGCATATTTTTCCTAACTTCTTATAAGCAGGCCATTCAAAGCATTTTTATTTGCCTTCTTCCTGGAATTCCAAAATTCCAATTGGCTGGAATTTGGATAAGCATTTCCAATAGTGCTGGCAGCAGAGTGGAAAAGCTCATTTTGACTTTGAAACAGAGTCTTAGATTTATAATTTTATTGCAAATTAAGAAGCGGATTTTCACCTAACGTGTTTTTTGACTGTTAAACTTGCATTCTTCTTTGCCATTTAACAGGTTAGAAATGCTATTAAACTTCCTTAGTGATGGCTTTTGTTTTGCATTTGTTTTATGACTCCTACTCAGAGAAATCTTCCCTGAGTAGGCTACCAGACCAATTGCTAAGGTCAAGAGCTATCATACCAAAGCTAAATATCAGCTTGCTGCTTATCTGTGCAAACTATTTCTACAAAAGCCAGACTACAGTTTAGTTCTTCCAGATCACTAACCATTTTCTTTGCTAATGTGCAAATGACACTGAATTTGGAAACATAAGGATTGTCATTAAAGAGCGTTGATGGTTTTGCCAACTAGATGGAGAGTCATTGCTCCTAAGAGATTACCTGTTCCACCAGGTATACCAGTGGGGGAGGGGAGGGGAAGAGGCTCCTGCCTACACCTGCAAAGGAGCAAGTAGGGGAATGTGCAGGTTGGTGTGCTTGTCTGATTTTTCCTGCTGTGAAAGAGTTGTAGTCTTGTGTTTTTATGTGAGGGTACAGAAATACTGGTTATTGGGAACCTCTGATTTCACGTTATGCTAAGTATTTTTATTAATGTTAAGTAATCTTAATAGAAATAAAAGTAATAATGTTAATTAATCTAAGTACTTGTTTTCCAGACTGGTTTTGAGTTAATAAAATTTGTTTTTAAGAGCAGTTTTAAGTTCAGAGCAGAATTGAGCAGGAAATACAAAGAGTTCCCATGTAACTCCTCCCCACACATCCAGCCTACCCTATTGTCAACATTTGATATAATCAATGAACCTATATGTAAGCAGCATTATCACCAAATGTCCAGAGTTTCCATTAATGTTCACTTTTTTTTTTTTTTTTTTAAGATTTATTTATTTGAAAGGCAGAATTAAGGAGGGAGGGAGGGAGAGAGAGAGAGAGATGTCTTTCATCTCTGGTTCGCTCCCCCAGTGGCCACAATGGCCAGGGCTGGGCCAGGCTTAAGCCAGGAGGTTCTTCTGTGTCTGCCACATAGTTGCAGGGTCTCCCAAGTAGTTGGGCCATCTGCTGCTGCATTCCCAGATGTAATAGCAGGAAGCTGGATCGGAAGTGGAGCAGCCAGGCACAGGAACCTCTAATGTTCACTTTTGATGTTGTACGCCCTAGGTTTTGACAGTGTACTATGATGGGTAGGTAGCCAACATTGTAGTATCATTATAGTAAAGCCAGTTTCATTGCTTCAAAGATCTGTTTCTTGCTTATTCTTCCCCTCTTCTGCTAATCTTCTCACTGTCTGTGTAGTTTTGCCTTTTCCTGGGTGTCATAAACTTGGAATCATGTAGGTTGACTCTTGAAGTTGACTGCTTTTACCTAACAGTACGCATTTAAGGGTCTTTGTCTTTGAGAGGTGATAGTTCATTTCTTTGTAGCACTGAAAACACTCCACTTTCTGGATCTAATAAAGTTTATCCCCTCCCCTACTGAGAGATGACTTGATTGCTTTGAAGTTGTGGCCATTGTGAACACATCCTTACCTGGGTTTTTGTGAGTTTATAATTCTGTAGTACATTTGGTCAAGTATCAAAGTGATTGCTGGATCATATGGTAAGATTGTGGTTTTTCTATCTCTCACTACAGTCTTGTGTTTAAGACACTTTTTTTTTCCTGTTGAGGGAAAGCAGTGAGGTCTTAAATATTTTAAAAAATATATAGAACTTGAGTAATATGCAGTATTTTTTAATGTATTTGTTTATTTGAAAGAGTTCGAGAAGGAGACTCAGAGAGAGAGAGAGAGAGAGCACCCACCCACCCACCCACCCAAACGAGAGCTGGTTCACTTCCCCAATTGGCCACACTTGCTGGAGATGGGCCAATCCAAAGCCAGGAGCCAGGAGCTTCTTCCGGTTCTCCCACGTGGGTGCAGGGGCCCAAGGACTTGGGCCATCTTCTGCAGCTTTGCCAGGCCATAGCAGAGAGCTGGATGGGAAGTGGAGCAGCTGGGATTTGAACTGGTGCCATATGGGATGCCAGCACTGCAGGCAGCGGCTTTCCCCGCTACACCATGGCACTGGCCCCTGTTTTTATTTTCAAATGGAATCCTGAGTCACAGAGTGACAATCTGAGCCCCAGTGAGCTTTGCCTTCCTGGGAGTTAGTTCTTTTTCTTTTTCTTTTTTTTAATTTTTTCACAGGCAGAGTGGACAGAGAGAGAGACAGACAGAGAGAAAGGTCTTCCTTTTGCCATTGGTTCACCCTCCAATGGCCGCTGTGGCCGGCCGGCCTACCACGCTGATCCGATGGCAGGAGCCAGGTGCTTCTCCTGGTCTCCCATGGGGTGCAGGGCCCAAGCACTTGGGCCATCCTCCACTGCACTCCCTGGCCACAGCAGAGAGCTGGCCTGGAAGAGGGGCAACCGGGACAGAATCCGGCGCCCCGACCAGGACTAGAACCCGGTGTGCCAGCGCCACAAGGCGGAGGATTAGCCTAGTGAGCCGTGGCGCCGGCCTTCGTTTTTCTTTTTCTTTCTTTCTTTTTAGACTTATTTATTTGCTTGAGAGGCACAGTACAGAGAGAGGGAGGGAGGGAGAGATGCAGAGAGTGAGGTCTTCTGCCTGCTGGTTCATTCCCCAAATGGTTGTGACAGCTGGAGCTGGGCCGGCGAGGAGCTTCATTTGGGTCTCCCTCTGCTGCCTTTCCAGACCATTAGCAGGGAGCTGGATCCGAGGAGGAGCAGTCAGGACTTCAACCTATGTCCAAATGGTTTGTCTGCTTCACAGAGGGTAACAACTTTACCTGCTATGCCACAGCACTGGCCCCAAGTTAATTTTCTTTTTATTTTTAATAATTAAATATTTTAAAATTTATTTGAAAGGCAGAGTTGGTGGGGGAAAGAAAGGGAGAGAGACATCTTCCATCTGCTGAGTCACTCCCCCAAATGGCTGCAACAGCCAAGGCTGGGTGCATGAGAAGAGCTTCTTTATGGTTTCCCACATGGGTATAGGAGTCCAAGTCCTCAGGCCCTTCTCCGCTGCTTTCCCAGGCACATTTGCAGGGAACTGGATCAGAAGTGGAACAAATGGGACTTGAATTGATGCCCCTAGAGGATGCGGGTGCTGCAGGGAGGGAGTGGCTTAGCCCACTATACCACAACACCGGCCTTAGGCCTCTTTTTTTTTTTTTTTTTTTTAACATTTATTTATGTATTTGAAAGGCAGAGAGAGAGAAAGAGGTCTTCCATCCACTAGTTCACCCCCACCAAGTGGCTACAAAAGCTGGAGCTGGGCCAATCCAAAGCCAGGAGCTTCTTCCTGGGCTCCCGAGTGGGTGCAGGGGCCCAAGGACTTGGGCCATCTTTCACTGCTTTCCCAGGCCATAGCAGAGAGCTAGATCAGAAGTGGAACAGCCAGGACTCCAACTAGCAACCATATGGGATGCTGGCTCTGCAGGCAGTGGCTCTTCCTGCGGTGCCAGAGTGCCAGCCCCCCTAGGCCTCTCTTAACATCTTTCTTCTTCCCAAAGGAAAGCTTTGTAAACCATGAAA